CTGTTAGATCCGTCACTGCCGAAACCTATCGGCAAGCAGGGGTGTATCCAGGTTTTTTTCTGGGTGGGTCGTGGTCATATTTTTTAGTTCCAGAATTGCTGGAATTGAGATAGATTATACGTCACGCAATTGGCAAAGTCTTTGGACTCATTGCTGGAACCTCATCAATGCTTTTTCATTTAGTTTTCTGAGGCCTATGTCATTGTGAAAAACCCCTAGAAAAAAATGTCTTTGGAAAATTGTGGACTTTTGAAAATGTTTTTTTCCCGAATAAAATATCAATTCTAACTTGGGTAGGGGGATTACTGCCACCAGAGATTTTATCCCACACCTGTTGACCGGAGCCCCCATTGAGTCTTTGGTTCCGACACTATTGCTTTCCAACCCTATGTAATAGATTTATAATGAATTTTTAGATGATGACCATGGATGTCCGTCCCGACAATTTAATTTTAATCTTTTAGTTTATACTTGAATCTTGAAACTTAATAGGCCTAAGGGCCGGATATAGAATGGTTAAGGAGAGTGGAGGCTGGGATCTGGAGAGAGAAACCAAACATTTCAGACGGAAAATACGGACCCGTAGAGCTGTTCAATTCACCAGGGAGATGTAAAACAATAATATTGCCGTGGAGTTATTTTATTGGGGTGGGGGGGGGGAGGCTAAAGTCAGTTTATTCTCCTCTAAATATGTCCATATTAAAAACATTTTTCGTCTCGATCTTGCACTGTCAAAAAAGAACGATTTGATATCGAACAATTTTGTACATATGATGCCCTGTTTATCAGAGATCAGAGGTTCTTTTTCTATCGCTGCACAACGATCCCTTGATTGATGGAACCGACATGTTCACTAGGCCTACGATCCAAAAAATAGTGTTGTCTCATTCCAGAGGAGTAAAATGTGTATCAAATCCACACGCGACGTTTCTTTGATGACGTGAGTCGAAGTTTCATGTAGGAGGAGTCAAGTACAAAATCGTGTCGATCACGTCACGTCACCCTCTGCAACGTCAACTTCCTGTCACGCATGCGTGTACACAGAGATGTCACATTTGCCGTGTTGGCTAAAAATCTGTCGGCTGATTCTGGTTTTTAAAAATAATATAAAATATTGATGGTTGTCTGAAATTTGGTGACTAGATGAATCACTTTGTTGAGCGAAGTAGAGAGGGTAATTACTTTCAACATATCGTTCTTTCGATATTGTAGCGAAACACTGTTGCAGTAACTAATAATAATTTAGTAAATAAAGGTGGGCAAAGGCCTACTACTAGGCCTAGGCCCAGACCTAGCCTGGGCCTAGAAGTACTAGTAGGCCTAGGCCTAGGCCTAAGTAGCTAGCAGTAGAGAAGACAAACTGACTTGAGTGACATTCGCAACTACTACTTATTAGGCCTAGGTAGGCAGCATAGTCATAGCCTACGCACGCCATACGGTTGGTGCTCGGCAGAAGGAGGATACTGTCACACGGTTGTTTCTTGCCTACCTACAGTAGGCCTAGGCTAGGAGGAGGAGGTAGGCCTAGACTAGGAGTAGGACTAGCCAAACAGGGCTAGGCCTAGGCCTGATGTATTTAGGCTAGGCCCTAGCCTAGGCCTAGTCCTACCGAGCCTAGCCTACATACTGCTAGTAGGCGAGGCCTTTGATTTCTTCCTTTCTTTATTTATATTTCAAGAGGAAGTTTCACTCAGCGGAGCTGATTTTCAGGGGAGCCTTCATCACAACAAATAAGTTACAAAAATATACACAAAGCAAACAGCAAGAACTACATTCATTCATAGAAAAAGTTTAAAAAATACCAGAAAAAACCCTAACTCTAGAGCGTAGCCTAGACCTAGCCTTCCCCTATGGAGGTTCCCTTACTTAGAGAGGCCTAGTAAAAGTAGTAGTAGTATAGTAGTAGAGTACATACTACTGTAGTCTAGCCTTGGCTAGTAGTAGTAAAGAAAGGCTGGGGCATCTCCCAGAGAAATGTTTTGAAGCGTAGGGCCATTTTTATAAGTAAGGCCATGGATATTGTCCAGATGGTAACATAATGCAGAGGTGTTGATTGAAAACTTAAATTATACAAGATAATTGATATTTTCCTTGTCTTTTCTTAGCCCTGTGTGTGTGCATAAATATTTGTACTTTCTTTTCTAGTTTCAGAAACATGGTAAATGTGATAATTGTGCTGTTCAGGAAGACAGAAGTAAAATTAATTTAAGGAATATTGTATACACAGAAATAAAGATACACATACCGAGATGTCGGGTAAGATTTCCCAGCCAAAGAATGGAGTATATATCATCCAAGGAGAGATGCTCCTTGTTGTCACGGCAATGCGTCGAACCTCACGATGGAATACGCATATCCCTCAGGTACATTTGTTTTCATATCTGTGTCTTTCAACCATAGGCTTAGCCAGCCAGCCGTAACAATTATTTTGGATGGCCACTTTTACCGTGACAGCTTGGACGGCTTGGCTTTATCAGCTCGGTCTAGCCTAATTGGGCAAAACCTTTAGCAAATTCTTTATATTTTTCAAATCTATCGAATGTTACATTAAACTAAAGCTAAATCATATTTATGTTTGATAAAAACAACCTTTATTGATTCAATGTACGTTGTTTTCATACCACTATTCAGTGGGGATTCCTAAAAATGTAAGGGTGAAAAGTTCACTTACAACATGTGTCGTATTAAAAACATTTATACCCCGGAAAATGGATGGTTCTGAGTCGCCCACAACGCATGCACGTAGCTCTGGAAATACAATACTTGAGATTCAGTTCCCCAGCATAATATTGTTGGTGTTCGTAACTCTCTGGTTATAATTAATTCATGAAAGTTAAATTTTATTAGTCAACAAAATACAGTAGGTCTAGCCCTATCACTAGTTTCGGAGGACCTAGAGTAGAATTTACACTATACTAAAGCGAGCGATTAATAAGGTACATCTGCATAGCCTAGAAACATTATGTTGGGGAGGGGCGTGACCCCGAGTGGGTGTTGCCCGCCCATCAGCTCAGGGCCACGCCCACTGTCTTCCATTTTGGACGGCCTATTTCGTTTTTCTGGCTAAACCCCTGCTTTCAACTTATTATGTATCAAAAACAACAAATAAACATTATAATGCCAGTGTAAAAAGTATGTTTTTTTTTTTGTTTTTTTTTAATAAAATGAGGAAAAGATAGGCCTGTACCCCAATCTGCTTGCCTTTGCCAAAGCTGATTTTTTACAGAATGCTTAACCAATTTTAACCCCACATTTTAATGCTTTTAGCCTTTTTAGCCATTTGAATCTTTTAGCAGACTTTTATTGTTTTTAAATTTTTGCTGTTTTTTCTGTGATTTTATCTTTTGTGTCTTGTTTTAACTTACATTTTAACTGTGAACAAACAAGAAGAATTTCAAACCATGTTCTCACTGTGTTTGACAATAAAAGTTGAATTAAATTGAATGTATATTAACATAATCCTCCCCTTTTGAAGTTTAGAATACTTTCCAAAACCCCAATTCACTTTTTTTGTTGTTGCATTTTTAGGAAGAAGAGCAGGATCCTTTGATAGCAGGCTTCTCACAGCTAAAAGACTTGCTCAACTCTGTGTCAGGTGAGATTATTATTTATTTTATTCTCATTTTAGTGGCAAGTGATTTATTCTCTTTGAAATGATTCAACATTTTCTTTTTACTAAGTCATTAAGTGATATAGAGATAGTAGTCACATTAATTTGTACGATATAGTAAAAATTTTTTTTATAAAGATTCGTGTGTATTAAAATATCCTTATCCTTATTCCTGATAATTTTTTGTGTTCAAAGAGATAAACAAATAAAAAATGAATGATTGGAAAGGTAAAGAACTGTATACTTGACACATTGAAGAAAATCTATTAAATTAATGATTTGAATGTTAGAATTTCAAACAAAACATTTTCTTGCCTTTTTTAAACAAATTAAAACATGAACAACGTACAGTATAGCCATCTTGGATGCGTTAAGAGAAAGTGCTAATTTCCTTGCTTGTTAGTTTTTAGTCTATGCTATCATTTTACGTTATTTATGATCATAATAATGATGATAAGGGAGAGCATGTAAAGATAAGATTTACTGAGAGGTTATTCATTGCGGTAGACAGTATTTTTATAGGCAGTAGCTACAGTATTATTACACCAGTCTTGAATAAATTGCTAATTCTGATTGGATGTTACAGAATTATATGGATTGGACTACCAGTAGACTCTTAAATCAATTAAGTTACATGTACATGGGGCATTTTTTAAAGGATTTATAATGGAAAGTTAATTGGGAGGATGAATCTTTATTTTTTTTTGGTTTAAAATTCAAATATATACCAAATTATATCATGAGGAAGAACTATTGTACAACCCAAAAGTAATCATTCAAATCTATTAGAAGAATAAGAATGCTTAAATAAAATATTTTTTTGAAATTGATGACATGGAAAAAAAAGATATACAATAATGACTTTTCATGACAATTTTTGTGCTGATCACAGTATGATATTAACATTCAAATAAAACCATTTAAGATAAAAATTTTGAATTGGAGATAAAACAAATTGAGACATAATTTTATTAAATCTACAGTTAAAGTACCACCATCGATTCATGTTTCATATTAATTTTCATAATTCATCGTAACTACATTATAAATCTTCATTTCATTGTGATTGAAAGCTGTAGTGGGTATATTTATCAAGGTACTGTCAGCATTGAATAAAGTTAGCCTCATAATCATATCATATTTAAACAGCAGAGTCAGTCATGTGAATGCATTAGGTAGAAATGTGTATATAATGTAGATGCAATTTGTAGTATTTTGTACAGCTCTTAGTAATTTAGAAAAATTTTTCACAAGAAAAAACTGAGAAATACTAAATAGCATAGTATTGATAGGTCCATGGTAAAATAGTAAAATTCTGTTATTTCAAGAATTTTATTAACAAAATGTGAATTTATTTCAAAAGTACGCCAAGGACAAATTTGAGATACAGACAAAACAAAAATACAATAATGTATCGCCCACACCACCAGTGACAACAAAAACAGATAATAATAATGAAGGAAGTGTATACCAGTAATGTATGCAATCACACAAGTGGTAATTGTTAACATCATATTGAATAAATATATACTGTTATAAAATGAATTAAAGAGGTGGATCATCAATAATATTTCCAGTTGGACAACCTATGTGATGGAGATTTAATAGTTATCAAACCAAACTAAAAAAAATTGTTATTTTTGAATAAATACAGTAAGCATGTCCAAATCACAGAGAAGTGTTTGTTAGAAATAAATTGACAATATTCACATATTTTTGAGAACAATAATATTTTCATCCCCTTAACAGCTGTTATTGACGTACAGTGCACAGTTAGGGAATTCAATTGAGTCTGTAATGAATGAATTAATAAATCTGTTGATCCCTCACAGTGTGACTTACCCATTCATTATTGTTTAATGTATTCAATATAGTGTTTTCTATTAATCCTACATACCATAAACCTTATTTTCTAAATGTCTTGCTATTGTGCATTCATTGTTTACAGTAATTATTGCACGTTGTGGCATTGCGTTCTCCGTAGAATTGTGTTGGCCTATAACCGTCAGGCACAGTGAATTCCCTGGGTTTAGTACCGACATTCAGTCGCTTGGGGTGGGATCGTTGAAGAGCTAACCTGAGTCATAGCTGTTTCAGTCCGTCAAACTTGCTATTAAGCATTGCTGACGAAGTGCCACTGGATTTTCTGTTTTTAATGTGTTTTCTTTCTTTTTTTTCTTTTTTAGGTTTTTCCACACACAAATAATATTCAAATAACAATGCATAATGTAATATAAGTCAAAAAAAAAAAAAAGAAACAGAATAAAGTGTGTGTTAATAGAGGTCTGTTAAGTCAGACCCCATTTAAAAGAACAATATTAATAACAATAATAGGTTGAATGACCATAGAAATAAAATATTTTATAAACTGAGTTAAAATAATTTATAAACTGATTTAAAATAATAATAACAGTAAAAATTTGTTTATAACAATAATTTACAATTACAGAAATAATAGTAATATTAGTGATAATATTAATAGTAATACTATTTTATTAATCTTATTATTATTGTTCTTTTTTCCCAAAGCTTAGGGGTTGTGGATCAATAATATTTTTTACATGGCCTTATTTGACACTACTTTGTATTTTGACAGGTGAAGGTTGGAAGAGGTATATTCAACATCATATCATATTTCCTGTGTTAACGGCTATCTATACCTTCACGGTAGATTGCATTAATAGCCAATAGTAATTAACAATATCATTTGGTTGAATTGTTTTTTCATTAAATCTTTTTAATGATTGGTACAGTATGTTACAAACTAATTTACTCTCTGCATCCAAATATTCGGCTATTTGTTTGACCCCAGAATCTAGGTCAATGGTAATTAACAGGATGAGAATTATCAACAATTATCTATTCATTGCTTATTGATCAATTGAAGGCAAGTAAACATAGCAGTAAAGATTTTAATTTTTGATTTAAGAAACTTATTCCTACATGGAGCGACCAAGTTCAGAACCTACCGATACCATTCGTGGGCATGTCTTTGAGTTAGACACATTGTTCTAAAGACATATCGTCCTTCAGAAAGGATAGTTTTTTAGTTGTTTTTTTTTAAAACCATATTTATAAGGGATGACCCTTCCAGCGTATCCTACAAGGTCGGCTGATATAGGAGCCCTTGAATTTAAATAACGTGATGCTTTTACCAGCAAAGTTTGTGAAAGCAGCTAGTTCAGTCAGCTAAACTGGTGGCAACTATTTTGTGTGCACTGAACCATGGAGGTCTTTAGGTCCTCCGTTCAATTCACATCGCTGCCTCTCCTTGTGTTTCAGCTGGAGGGCTGAAATGCAAGTTTCAAAAGCCCACCACCTTTCAGATGAGACGTTTAAGCCGTTGGTCCTGTGTGCAAAATGGCCCATGTGCACGTTAATAAAGTAACTCTCAGGAAAATAGTAGGGGATTGTCTCCTGGTGCATGTTATCACATGCGAATTATAATGACCTTTAGTGACGTTTAATAATACATTATCATAGTAAGTTAATGTAGGGGACTGACTGTCAGTGGTGTATGACCATGGTAGGTACCACCGGGTCCTAATCCAAATTTTTGTGTTGACATCTTACTCGCATACAAACAAAAAATCTAACCATTTCTATTTTTGTGCCAAAATTTAGGATTCTGTTAGAGCCAAAGTTCGGTGATTAAGATACTGTATTTGTTTTCCAACTGCAGTATGTTAGTTGCATTTCCTGCAAATATGATTCTTTTTTGAAAGTGAACAAGTTCTTCTAAGCCTCATAATAGGAGAACAGTAAAGTTTGATATGGAAACTATTTTGCAGTTTATATATTTTAAAAAGATTTAAGTAAATTAACATGCTAGAGTTGACTGAATAATGTTGTTTATTCAGTCTGATGCTATTTAAATAGAATAGTAGGTTTGTACTCTGTTCAATGAAATCTCACATTTAAATAAATGTTCTAAGTAGCTATTTACCTATTTTTTCTGTTTTGACCTTGTGTTAACCTCATTACCATAATATATTATAATTATGACGAATTTGAAGGTTAATTCTGCATCCAAATTTTTAGAAACCTGATTTACACAATGTCTGATAAATGAACAATCTTGCATATTACATAGCTGTTTGAATTTGCCTTATTCTACCAATGAAATCAGATCCATTACATTCATACTGTTAATTGCATTTTCCCTAATGGGTTGCTATGATGTTGAAAGATTGCTTGCAAACATAGTATTAGGTTCATTAAGGAGATGACCTTTGTCATTTCATACTGAAGCATTGGTTTGCCTGTCCACACTATACAGATTCTGGCGTACCTACAGTATGCCAATAATTAAACCAGGTTTTCCATTAGCAGAGTACAGTATGTACAGATTGTGGTTTTTTTTATTTTTTATAGTTCAGTTCTATTTGCTGCTGTAAGTAATAATATTGACACACATTGTTATGAATGTATTTATATCACATTTCATGTGAAATGCAGTATAATATTTCCCTAATTTAATATTACTGAATAAGTACATAAATATTTATCTTAATGGCCTGCCCATGTTTTTAATGACTGCTGACCTTTAAATTGTATACATAATGCTTTCATTTTTATATTTCTATTGAATATTTTGTTTGTAACCATTTTATAGTTTTTTTATTGATTTGTAGCCAGTTTTAATATATATTCATAATTCAGCTTATTATGCTGCAAAGTCTTCTCAGATAAGAACTTAAATGGAGGACAGTGTATACATCTGGCTTATGTGCACTTTAAAGAACCCATTGCATCTTTCGGAAGAGTAGGGGGTTTTCCCCGATGCTATGCTTTATTTCAGCCCCAATATTCTGGAAGCCTCTTTATCATGGGGGCTAGATACAGTAGTAATTCATACCACGCCTATACACAATTCAGGACAATGATGCAGCAAGTTATCGGTTATTCACCAACCTTTACATTTAATAATGATATTGAATGTTAAAGTTTAAAGCTTACTCAATCTTTAAAATACATCTTAAGAATTACAGTACACTGACATTAAAGACTTTATCAAGTTAATGATATAAGAAAATGTAAATTATGCAATATTGCATAACTATTGTAGTGTGTTCAGTAGTTGCGTTGCAGTTTCAAAGACTTAATTTGATTGAGAAGAGAATCCTTTGAACAATGAATCAATATTTTGAAATACTTAATACAGTCTAAGCAATCTCTTAAAACCAGCAAAGCGTTACTTGTCACTGTTACCCAGCCAACGCAGATATTGATTGCTATCAACCCATGTGAATAAAAATACATATTGATTTTTAATTGAATATTGATACAAATAAATGATTTTCAAATTGTTCGTTCTTATACTAGAAGACTATTGTTAATTTCAGATAGCAAAGTAACATCAGTACATAAGTATTTTCTTTGTCAGAATGTTTTTTAAAACTTAGTTTATTTTTTTTATATTTTGTTTCTTCAGAATTAAATGACATAGAACCAAACAATTTCCTAACTCCATTTCTGGATGTGATCAGGTCTGAGGACACCACTGGACCCATTACCGGCCTCGCACTCTCGTCAGTCAATAAATTTCTTTCTTATGGACTTTTGGGTAAGCTAATGTATTTCATCGTCATTCTTCCTCATAATGGTTATCAATCATTGTTATCTTTATCATCATCCATCATCATCATTATTTTTGTTGTCATCAAAACAAGATAACTTTATTGTTGTAACATAAAACATTGATGAAACTGACATCATCATCATCAATACACCATCGTCACCCTTGCAACATTAATATTTATTCATATTTATGTCTTCTGTATTTTTATCATGTAAATCCTCTGTGGCCGCTGTGACCTTTGCAACATTAACATCATCACCATCTCATCTCATCATTCATCATCAGCATTATAATCATCATCAATGACTATCAAAATCATGATTTAATGTTGTCATCATAATCATCTTCATCATAGTAATAACGGGCAAATGCATAGTGTTAATGATTCAGCATTTACAACCTGATGTAATTGATCTGTTTTTAAGTAGCTGCCAGACAGACATAAATATGTCTTCTGTATTTTTATCATGTGAATCATCTGTCACCTCTTTGACAGACCCTGGGGTAGATGGCACTGCAGCAGGAATTGAGAATATTGCTGATGCTGTCACCCATGCTCGCTTCGTTGGCACTGATCCTGGGTCTGATGAGGTTGTCTTGATGAAGATCTTGCAGGTAATTTTGATTGTTGCATCTGTAAATTATGTTAATCGTTACTCAGACTGAATGGACTCTGCACCTAATTCCATGATAGATATTTCAGTACATTACCGAAATTATTAATAAGACAAGTATAATGACAATTTTACTCTTAAGTTATTGATAGTGACATTCCATGAGGTTCAGTGCAGTGCTTATCAGTAAAGCAGTAGGTTACTGTACAAAAGGTAAATTATGAGAGTTTAATTATGAGAGCATAATTAGCTCTTCAGTATTTTGTAATAATAACAATTCTCATTTAAATTCATACTTTCATTTTGTTTAGGTTTTAAGAACACTTTTACTGACTCCTGTTGGCTGTCACCTGACCAATGAATCCGTTTGTGAAATCATGCAATCCTGTTTTCGGATATGTTTTGAAATGCGGTTAAGTGGTGAGAAACTCTGTTTATCTCATTCTTAATTTAGAAAATTTCTTGCAAATTGCCTATAATGTCTGGACTGGTGAAAAGGATATTTAAACTTAAACTTGAAAGAAATAACTGTTTTTTATATTGGTGGCATGCTTTTCAGATTTCGATTTGATTTTTGCTCTTTTATAACAATGGTTTAACAGCAGTAACTTCAATCATTGTTTTTGGTAGGGCATTTCTTACATCAACTACCTAACAAGCAAAAACATTTTTCTCATATTAAGACTGCAATGCAATGAAGTAAGTTTTTAAATTGTATCTCTTTGACTTCTGCAGAGTTACTGCGTCGTTCAGCCGAGCAAACGCTTGTTGATATGGTTCAGTTACTTTTTTCAAGACTACCGCAATTCAAAGAAGAGAAAATTGCAGGAATGAGAAAGGTTGGCAAATGATGTAGATTCTAAAAGTGGAGTTGAAAAGCTCAGTGGTTAAGACGCTTGCCTTCTAATCCCAAGGTCCTGGGTTCAATTCCGGTCACAGCAGGACTTTTTCTCATGACTAAAAACAACTCCACTCATTAAGTCTCATAAAGAGACTTAGTTTATAAAGTATCATTCTCATCCTGTAAGTGGCAGGTGTACTTACTGTTGGATGTGAAGGAAATAAAACAAAAAAAAATAAATAAAAATAAAAACCACCAATAATACATTGACAGTTAATATGATTACCAAAAGGTGCCATTTCAGTTGTGCTTAGACACTTATAAATTCTAAATGGAAAGGGAGTCAGTTTCCATAAGGCCAATTTTGTATAAATGTTTGATAGTGAGCGAATCACTAATGCAAAAAAAATAATACCAAAAACAATCAGATGTTCATGTGAATAGAAAGATGTTCCTACAGATTACCTACATTATTCCAAATCATAATATGAAAATGTTATCCTTTCTCAGCTTAAAATGCGAGCAGGAGGAATAGCTGATTCAAGGCGGAAGAAATCTAAGCAATCTCCCAAAAACCGTCAGAAGAAGGAAAAACAGTCGACAACGATAGCTGTCCAAGAGGAAAGAGAATCAACTGCCACAAGTGGACAACCCTCTCCAGCAGTTAGTGACAACAACATTGCTTCAGAGGTTGAGGAACCAGAGTCAGTGCCAGAGGACAGACAAGCAGAAGAACGATTACAGAGTTCAGATGGAGAAGCAGATGGTCGTGAAGTGGTGTCGATTGATGACTGTGCGCCAACACCTGATGCAGATCCAAGTGAACATGTTGTATCTCTAACAGGGGGTCAAGGAATAGAAGATGGCATAGAGAGGAAGGTATGCCTTCTGATCCCTTGCTACAATTTACTATATATTCTGTTTTCCTGGATCTATTGCAATTTAGTTACTTGCATATATGTCAGCTTGTGCTAATTACCATGCTGTTTTCCACTACAGAAAGAGGAAGAGGCTAATTATGATTCGGAGAAGACAGAGTCTCTAGCGGATGGTCTGGAAGATTCTGAATCCATTACGGAACATTCCGATAGTGCTTCAGTTCATGATTCCGATTATGTAAATCCACATGGGGTGCGGTTTACCCCCCAACAAAAACCTAAGGATGGTAAGTCAATCATTCAGATTAGTATGCTAAATTTTATTGAATCCATATTTTTTTGGCTTTAAATATATCATATAGATTTCAATCTTGTGATAAAACCAATTTTGTTGTTTAATATTTTCCTCATTTATTCATATTGTATGCCTTTTCTTATAATATAAATTTTAAATAATATATTTTTAATTGTGTTTAAAACAAAATTAAAATAATTAAATAACATAATTGATTGATTTTGTTTTGTTTTCTGTTCTAGGATCTGGGCCACTTATTCCCTATGGTCTTCCATGTGTTAGAGAACTTTTCAGATTTCTCATCTCTCTTATTAACCCATATGACAGGTAAGTGCACACCTCTCCATCCTCTTCCTCACCAATAAATGATGATGATGATAATAATAACAATAATAATAATAATAATAATATCTTTATTTAATAAAGCGCAAACAAATATCGATTTAAAATGGTCAGAGGTGCTGTACAGAATTCAAAAAATAGAATTTTACAAAAAATCAATACTCAATATATAAATATCCATTAAAAGTTAATAGGAAATTGGGACATTAAAAAGCATCACAATACAATTTAGCACACCAAAAACCTACAGTGAAAATATAAAAAAATATAAACAATAACATAAACATACCACGATTTAAAAAAGACTTGTCATGAAAGAGAACAATATTTTTGGCTTTTTTATTAAAAGCAGAACACAACACAAGATCACCAAACTGTTACAAAATTTATCACAAAGTTAAGAAAGTAAGATGCCATGATGATAAGAGCTACTAATTTCCTATTAACAGCTCCACTGTTCCTTTAGTGTAAGAATTAGTGTACTGGTATTTTAAACAGAAACATGGTTGCAGTTTTGGCATTTAAAACTTAACTTTTTTTATATATTTTTCTTAGTTACTTTTTGTCCAGCAGTTTCATCCAAATTGTGTCTTCTACTTTTTATTATATTTGTGTTGCTATTACTGATGATTAATTAGTTATAAGCTCTATATTAATTTGCTATAAATACCTTGTAATTTAAAGTAAAAGTAGAAATGTATTAACTAACATGATGGCAACTCTGAATAATATAGTACTGTAAGACTACCACATACTTGCAATGTTGATTGATTGACTTTTTTTTCTTTAGTTTTTTTTATATAACAATTAAGTTTTAGTTTAATTGATTTCTAGTTTAAGTTTATTTTTCTTATATTTGGATGCACCGTTGGGTATTTTCCAACGTGTTCCACTGTTACGAAAGTGATATCCATGAAATTGAAATTGATACTGATTAGCACCTTTCTTCTATATCTAACAGATACTACAGTATTTAGGTGTCCATATTATGATTTCATAGTGTTCCATGCTTTGATCTAATTTTTCAGACATAATACCGATGTAATGATCCATATGGGGTTAAGCCTGTTGACAATTTCATTGGAAACAGGGTGTGATCACATCAGCCATTTCTCAGTCCTTCAAGCTCTTGTTAAGGATGACATGTGCAGACATCTATTCTCAGTAAGTCTAATACTAATGTGTTAAATACTAATTCAAGACTTACAAAGTGTGCAAATCTATTCAAAGCAGTTTTCAACTTGTGTTAACTTATGTATAAATTGTTCTACAGATTCCAATTTCTTTATTTTGTTCAAAAGAAAATTACAGTAGGTGCAAGAATATAACTGAAACGGATATTAATATTAATTTACAAACTTGGTTGGGTATATGAGAGCATTAGCTTTGTCTGTACATATTGGGTATTGAAATAAATAGCTTTCCATTTTATAAGGAAATATAAAAACTAATAAGCCATCTTGTAGTTTCACACTCATGACTATGTCAAAGGTCAAGAAATATAAACAAACATATTGTACACCTTACTGTATATCATCTATTAAGCATTAATTAGGTTCAAGTGGTTTATATTTACCATATATATTTGCCAAATACTGCAACCATTCTTCAAACTACTGTTGTCAAATTCAAGACCTTCAAAATACAGAATAAAGTAGAATGCACTAATTGTAATATTTATATAAAATTTGTTGTCTTTTCTAGCTTCTTCAGGCTGATCGTCTTTCACTGTTTGCATCGTCTGTACGTGTGTGTTTCCTTCTATTTGAATCGATGCGAACTCACCTTAAGTTTCAACTGGAGATGTACCTGCTTAAGCTTGTAGATCTAATCGTCTCCGAGTCACCTAAAATCATGTATGAACAACGTGAGATGGCGCTGGATGCCATTGTGCAGGTAAGTTTTAACACCCCTTCGGCTCAATACATTGTAAACATTTTGTCAGCCTATTATACCAATTACCATAGCGTGATACAGACAAGGCAGGTTATTCATAATGCACATTCCTAATTATTTTAGATATTTTGTAATGGAGAAAAGATTTGATTTGATTCATCTTGGGAGCTTCTTTAATAGTCTAGAAGTCTAGAAGCTTGTTCTCTTGAGAACACTTCTTCTACGGCTCTATATATTATGTTCGGAACAAATTTAATTGCAGTTGACATTGTATTAAGTAATTATAAAGCTTAGCATAGTATTAGATTTTTATCTGTCAAGATCAACAATGTCTGATTAGACTTATATAGTGTATTCTTAGTTCAGACTTAGTTCTGATCAAACAAATCTTGTGTCCTATAATACTGTTTATCCGTTATAATACTAGTTAATGATTTCAATGTTCCCAAGTGAGCATCGTTGGAGTTTTTACAGTTGTAAACATCAGACCAAACAGTACAATGAAGATTATTAGCAAGAGAGGAAATAGTATAATCATTAATTTTTCTGAAATATACGTACTTAAGATCATTATTAAATAAAGAGTGCGAAATATTGGAATGAACAATAGAATAAACAGGAAAATGATCAGATATATCAGAATATAAAATGCCGGGAGAAATTTTGTCTTGTATGTTATTACTAAAAATATTGTCAATAAGGGTGGCAGTTTTAGACGTAATTCGGGTGGGTCTGTGAGTAAAAGGATAGAAATTAAATTTAAACATATTACTTAAAAACTCAGAAGATTGTTTGTGAGTACTACACTTAAGTAAATCAATGTTGAAGTCACCCGCAATATAAGTTATTTTGTTATCATTATTAATTTTGTCTAAGAGAAGAGATATGTTGTTATTGAAAGTAACTAAAGATAATTCAGGTAAACGATATACTACACCTAAAATAATGTTCTTATGTTCAGCTGTAATTTCAATGAAAATAGACTCAGCAGTTGGAGAAATAATAGTAGAGAGGTCAGTTCGAAGTATGCATTGAAGGCTCTGGTCTAGGTATATGGCAACACCACCTCCTGTCCTGTTAGATCTTGATGAATGCAAGAGAGAATATCCTGGAATATTATAAAAGGAAAAATCTGTTTTATTATTATTAAAAAAGGTTTCAGTAAAACAGATAGCAGAAAATTTGTGATTCAAAGCACTTAAAAAATCAGTTATATCATTGAAATGGTTAATAAGACTACGACAATTCATGTTAAAAATACTAAAAGATGAAGATAAATTGGAATATTTTGTATTAAAATTATCAATTAAATCATAATTACATTCATCATTATTTTCTAAATGCAAGGAATTATTGTTAAATGTATTGTTTAGTGAAATATCAAAAGGATCTAAAATCAGAGATTGTAGCCTATTAAAGTTAACCTTATGGTCATGGAAAAAATATGTAAGTTCATGTTGAAATTCATTATTATCTAAAATCATATTAAACGGAAATAACGTACCTGTACAGTCAAAGCATATCCAATTGAAGTCATTGCAACAGTGAATATGACAAATATTATTACAATTAATACAGCTTATAACATCATGCTTTATTACTTTGGTGCATATAAAACAGTTCATGAAAAGTATTTAATAAATAAAAAATTAATTAAGTTATATTTCTTAACTGAGTAAATCAGACTGCCAGTGAGAACAAGATATTGATAACACCTCCAAAACATTAACAATAACATGTTTGCAACATAAATAAAATAAAAATAACTAATTGCATTACGAATATAAACATAATTCATTATTATTAGTTTAAGGCCAGTAAAAATAAAATATTAAATAGCAATATTTAGCTCTTATATGCAGTAAATTCTAAATGAAATATACTACTGTACTTTCTTTTTATTTTTTCTCTGGAAATAACATTGTAAGGCATATTTCAAACTTTTCTTGTAACATGTAACATTGTCAGAACCATTTATGTAGTGGTTTTTTTGGTTGAGGTCTCCCAGCTTATAACATCATGCTTTATTACTTTGGTGCATATAAAACAGTTCATGAAAAGTATTTAATAAGAAAAAAATTAATTAAGTTATATTTCTTAACTGAGTAAACCAGACTGCCAGTGAGAACAAGATATTGATAACACCTCCAAAACATTAACAATAACATGTTTGCACCCCCAAAACATTAACAATAATATGTTTGCAACATAAATAAAATAAAAATAACTAATTGCATTACGGATATAAACATAATTCATTATTATTAGTTTAAGGCCAGTAAAATAAAATATTAAATAGCAATATTTAGTTCTTATATGCAGTAAATTCTAAATGAAATATACTACTGTACTTTCTTTTTATTTTTTCTCTGGAAATAACATTGTAAGGCATATTTCAAACTTTTCTTAATAAGTAAAGTCTTATACAGTAAGTTCCATATGTACATATGTATCGGATCACTTCCGGAACACTATGAGGTACATGCAGTATGCAACTTTGTAAGACGTATTATATTATATAACTTTTTAAGGCGTATTTCAGACTTTACTCAATACGAAAGGTCTTAAAAGTTCCATCTGTACATTTGTATCGGATCACTGCCGGAACGCTGTGTGGTACGTATGCGAATTCCACGGTATCCAGATCTCTTAGCTTCTGCAAGTGATTTTCCCTCAGTGCCCTGCGTTCATTTCTGACTTTTGCTGATACATCGTCACCGATAAAGATTTTTTGCCCATGATATGGATGATCTTTCAAAGTTTTTGCAGCCTGACGAAGGATATGCATCTTGTCTTGATAGCGGAGGACTTTACAGTAAATTGGTCGACTACTGGTTGGTTTACTGGCAAATGCTGCACGGTGTGCACGCTCAATTTCGATCTTCACTGGGATTTTCATATGTGAGTTGAATATGTCTGCTACAATATCCATTGCCGGTTTGTTGACAGACTCAGAGACATTGTAGATAATAAGATTGTTTCTCTTAGATCTATTCTCAAGATCGTCAATTTTTTGCTCTAGAAGTTTCACAGAGTCGATAAGTTTTTTTGAATCCATATCCTTAAATTTATCAACACGATTTTCAACAATAGCAATGTTTGCTTTTAGATCGCCGATATCGTTCTTATTATCCTGAATCAGTTCCTCTGCCTTCGCTACTCTACTTGTCAATTTCTCCATGTTATTATTAATATGTTGAATAGATGAGAGTATTTCTTTCTGGCCATTGAATAATTCATCCAATTTTTGAAGCAACTTGCTATTATCAGCTTGTTCAGTGCTGGTCGCCTGTTGACAAACTTCAGCTGGGTCTAGGCATAGACCTTGCGCTTCAGGGCTCTTTTTTAACTGCGCCACACCACCATTAACTCCAGTCGTAGCGGTAAGTTGTTGTTGATCCGCGACGAGTACTTTCTTGTCAGGCCTAGATCTGAGCTTTCTTGAAGAATCCGTTTCAGGCATAGTTACTAAAAAATCAGCAAAAAGTAGTAGATAACTGGGTCCTAGAAGTCACAGATTTCAAAAACGATCGGTGAATTTGTACGAATAAATGAATTTATTGCCTTGAAATTACTCCAGTTTGAGAGCGATTCTAAACGGACATGTTACGTGGACGCCACGCCAGTAGATTTGTTTGAGAGACAAAAGTCTGCTATGCAATTGCAATTTCTTTTTTATTTTTACTTTGCAGTTATGGAGGATTCCATCTCTTGTAGCTGAGTTGTATTTAAATTATGACTGTGATATTTATTGTACAAATCTATTTGAAGATCTTACCAAGTTGCTTTCAAAGGTAAGTTCATTTCGACACGCAGCTGTGCAATTAAAAATAAATGTGTATTAAATGTTGTTTTTAATTGTTTACTCAAGTATACATTATAATTAAATTAATTAAGGGTTGATTTAAACACAATATGTGTGAATTGTCTAAATTTATAAATTTTTTTTCCTGTTTTTTAATACTGAAAATCTTCTCAAGTCAAGTGTGGATTAATGATAGTAAAACTTTGAACCAAATTTTTATATGTGCTTATACTCAAAAAATGAAACCTAAGTTTAGATTCATGTAGATTAATTTTTTATGATTGTGGCCTTCTAGTTGTGATCACATGTTAAAGAGAATCTCCTTATGACCTGCAGAATGCGTTCCCTGTGTCAGGGTCATTGTACACGACACATCTGCTATCCCTTGATGCATTGCTGGCGGTCATTGATGCCATCGAGGCCAACTGTCATCATAGGATACTAAGCACCATTGCAGCACAAAGCACGGAACGGATCGCTGCTGAGTCAGGGATTGAAATCCAAGTACAGGACATGTCTACCAAACAAGAAGGTAAACATTTAACACGTCCAGCATGCAACGGCTACATTTTAGTAAGGGAATTTATAGCTTTAGTGGTTTAGATGCTTGCCTTTAAAGCTGGGCACACACTACGCCAATGGTCGCCGGTTATAATGCGATTCCATCTATAGATAACGCAGCACAACTGTGTGTGCGACAAATGGTTATCAAGGATAGTCCACTCTGGCTGTGATAGACAGACAGCAGAAGGCGTCACTTCGTCAATCACACAGAGCTGTAATGGAGGAAGAGATGGATTTATCGGCCTATAATTGCAGTGCACTATGTGTCCGGCCCATGCGATTAGTTTTTAGGCTAATTTTGCAAACTAAATAGGAATCTTCAATTTTGTGATTGGTTTCTTCTTGAGATTAAGCCCATTGGGCTTCAATTTGAGGTTATACGGTAGGCACATCATGTATATATGCGCATACAACAGTTTTTAGTCAAAGAAAATCTGATGATCTAGAGAAAGCTTAAAAGTGTATACAATATCTAGTATAATATAATTTCTGCTATACTACTTCTGTCTTAATCTCTGGTGTGTGGTGCTTGTTAGGTATGCTGATGAAATGCAAGTCACAATAACACTGTCTTAGGCCCTGTGTGCATGGCCCATGTGTATGCTGATGAAATGCAAGTCACAATAACACTGTCTTAGGCCCTGTGTGCATGGCCCATGTGTATGCTGATGAAATGCAAGTCACAATAACACTGTCTTAGGCCCTGTGTGCATGGCCCATGTGTATGCTGATGAAATGCAAGTCACAATAACACTGTCTTAGGCCCTGTGTGCATGGCCCATGTGTATGCTGATGAAATGCAAGTCACAATAACACTGTCTTAGGCCCTGTGTGCATGGCCCATGTGTATGCTGATGAAATGCAAGTCACAATAACACTGTCTTAGGCCCTGTGTGCATGGCCCATGTGTATGCTGATGAAATGCAAGTCACAATAACACTGTCTTAGGCCCTGTGTGCATGGCCCATGTGTATGCTGATGAAATGCAAGTCACAATAACACTGTCTTAGGCCCTGTGTGCATGGCCCATGTGTATGCTGATGAAATGCAAGTCACAATAACACTGTCTTAGGCCCTGTGTGCATGGCCCATGTGTATGCTGATGAAATGCAAGTCACAATAACACTGTCTTAGGCCCTGTGTGCATGGCCCATGTGTATGCTGATGAAATGCAAGTCACAATAACACTGTCTTAGGCCCTGTGTGCATGGCCCATGTGTATGCTGATGAAATGCAAGTCACAATAACACTGTCTTAGGCCCTGTGTGCATGGCCCATGTGTATGCTGATGAAATGCAAGTCACAATAACACTGTCTTAGGCCCTGTGTGCATGGCCCATGTGTATGCTGATGAAATGCAAGTCACAATAACACTGTCTTAGGCCCTGTGTGCATGGCCCATGTGTATGCTGATGAAATGCAAGTCACAATAACACTGTCTTAGGCCCTGTGTGCATGGCCCATGTGTATGCTGATGAAATCATACAATTTTTGTATAAGAGTAGGGGATTTTTTTCCCGGTGTACTACCCAGTTCCCCAACAGAATGACTAACTGAAAATATGTTTTGAACTTTTGTGGGTTATCCTTGGTGTTTCACACTGAGATAAATACATCTCTCTAGACCATAGTGACCAGATAAAACACAATTCATTTTTTCATCTAACATTATATAGAAACTATGATTATTTAATTGGTAACATATTTTTTTCCAACAGAATAGCAACCATCGTCCGTTTGCTAACAATGATGCTGCATTCACCCTGGCTTATGCTGTCATAATGCTCAACGTCGACCAACATAACCACAATGCAAAGAAACAGAATATACCCATGACAATTGCTGTAAGTTTTTCCTGTGGTTTCTATCTTAACCTCTGTCCAGATTATTAAACTTCCCTTGATAATTGTTTGTTGTATGCCCATATATAGTCATGATGTGCCTATATATGGTCATGATGTGATGTTGTCATTACCATATTTAGGATTGTAACATGTTTTTTTTCAAATATAATTTGATAGTCTGGACAGATCTTTGCTTGTGACTCATGGCTTAATATTCATTTGTATCTTAATATAGTCTTTATTTGTTGGTTATGTTATTAGGAATTCAAGAAGAACCTAAACAAAGTGAATGGAGGTGAAGACTTCGAGCAATCAATGTTAGAGGAAGTTTACTCTGCTATCAGGTAAGCATTAATAATTCTTTATTCGACATCTTTCAAAATGAAAATCGGGTTTGGACTGGGGAATTCAGCACAAGAAGCAAGCAAACTGCTCAGCTACAAGAAAAAAAAATTCACAGATCTTTCTTAGTCCGAACCCTGATCAGAGGCTGGGCCTAAGTGAATGATTGATTTGATTGAAATATCGTAGTTATTTTCTGACTTTTTTGTGACGTTTCATATTGATTACTAATTGATTTATATTTCTTGCAAGGAATATCAGAATTGTTTTATACATTCATCTGTTACTTTGGATTGTATATATATTCTCAAGTTAGGAAGCAATCAAATAAAATATTTTGATATTGTAATTTTTAATTGAAAGCTAATAACATAAAAAATGGAAATATTGAAATTTCCCATAGTAGTTTATTTGCTCAATACATAAAGTATATCTTTAAAGAATTAATCTATCCCCACCATCAGATGTGTTATTTGCACGTATATGGTTATGATGTCATATTGCACCCAAAATGGTCGTATTATACCAATATATTGACATGATGATGACATATACCCATATATGGGCATGATGATGTCATGTCACACCCATATATGGGCATATCACAGGTGTTTGTCACATAAATCTTGATAATGTGGACAATACCATTGTATTTGATGTATTTAGGAATGAGGAGATTGTGATGCCAGCTGAACAGACTGGTCTAGTACGTGAGAACTATATATGGCGATGTTTATTGAAGCGGGGCACCACCCCAGATGGTATCTTCCTCCATACACCAGCAGCCGCTATGGACAAGGAGCTGTTTTTGTTAACTTGGGGGCCTACTGTCGCAGCCTTGTCTTTTGTGTTTGATAAAAGCTCAGATGAAACTATAACACAAAAAGCAATCTCAGGATTCAGGTACTTGCAATTTTTATATGATATTAACACGTTGACTGCCAGACCTTTTTTTAAGGTTCCTTCCCATGTGCCAAAACAAGTTTACATGTACAAACATACTTTTTTGAAATTTTATCTAGTCATATATCATCAAAATGAAGTGTCTAATAAATTGGCGGGAAAATATTAGGGGGCGAGTATACTCGTCGATGGCACTGTGATAGAACTTCTTACTGACTATGCCAAGTGCGAGTTATCTCGTCCGCTTTTTGCATGGGTTGGTATATGTTCAAAGGGCGCCCCCACTTGTACCGCTCGAGTGTACTACCGGCAACATAACACAACAGACATACATATGTCATTTGTACGTTATCGTCTAGGTGTATCTTCCCCGAACTACCAGCCGTTGAGTCTGTGGTCTGTGTATAATAAAGAAGTTATAAACTCTAGAATGTTTCCCCCGATTTGACAAGTATACTCAGCAACACCCTGTGAGCGAGTATACTCGTCGCTGGTAGCCAATGTGTTAAATTTGTAGTTAATGCTGCACAACATATATAATGAAAAATAAAGATTGAGACTTAAGTTCTGTCCAGACTATCAAATTATATTTGATAAAAAACTGTTGTATGCTTGTATACAGTCATCAAATGTCTATATATGGTCATGATGTGATGTCATTATCAGCATATTTTGGCATGTCACATTTGATAGACGGGACAGGGCTATATATATGTAAAGAGACCTGATAAGGAGACTTGGTTATATTTTTAGAGCAATAAGAGTCCCAAATGATCAGCTCTTAGTTACACAAATCTCATAAAGGCTTGGTTATAGACCATTGACAGCCCCAAATAATCAGCTTTGTAGGACAGATCACCCTTGTTTAATATATTGAAAAATTAACTAAGCTTAACCCCTACTTATTACATGTGTATTGAACCATTATTGTAAATTATTTAACAATTGTATTGTTTAGGAAATGTGCAATGATTTCAGCCCACTATGGTCTGAGTGATGTGTTTGATAATCTGGCCATATCCCTCTGCAAGTTCACAACGTTGATGAGCTCAGGAGAGGTAAGTCTTTGACACCAGGTTTATGGCAGTGCTTACAATCATGTTATCCTACATTAGCAATTTATACAGCAAATGCTAAAGGCTTTTTGTCAATATTTGCAGTTATTAACATTAATAACACATTGTTTATAATTATTACTAGGAAAACATGCTCTCTGTGAGAAGCACTGTTAAATTCTCTATTTTCGTTATTGTTTTTCATCATTGTCATCATTATTGTAGTAATCATCATTTCTCCATTAGTCTCCAGAGACGCTACCAATCGTGTTTGGATCGAACATGAAAGCGCAGTTAGCAGCTAAAACCATGTTTGGATTGGCTCATCGGCATGGGGATATCTTAGGAGAGGGGTGGAAAAACATACTTGATTGCATGTTGCAGCTTTTCAAAGCCAAACTGCTGCCATCAGAGTTGGTGGAAGTTGAAGACTTTGTTGCATCTAGTGGAAGTATATCACTGCTAAAGCGGGAGGAGATGCCATCACAAAAGTGAGTTTGCTATCTGTATTGTATTTCATTGTAAGATTATATACGTTATTTTGGAAGGAGCTTCCTGTTAACCTTATTCATTTTAATTTAACATCATTGTAAAGTAACAAACAATGCTGTGAAATAGCTCAAAATAGAAAATTGAAAAATAGGGAATTCCAATTCTAATTCATCAGTCCAAAGTTATTTAAAACATGAAAACACAAAATATTATGTTGTTGAAAGGCCACCCAATGGAAATAATAACATACAACTTGCAATGGATTCCTAATTAATTACTTGAAAATAATGTCCCTGTGCGAGATTTAACAGTGCTAATTAAGAATAACTGATTGTTCCTGTTTGCAACACTAGGTGCTTCTTAGAAGCTTATTATATATGCTTTAGTTCATTTATGTTATTTCCTACCACCATTCATTATCAATATAAGTTAATTTTTCTTCCCTTTGTGACGATCTCTAGGTCAGACTCATCCCTGCTTAGTTCTTTTGTATACTACTTCACTGCTAACACTGAGACCTCAACTCAACGTGGGCCAACTCCAGAGGATCAAGAGGCTATCCACGTAGCAAGGAACTGTATAGAGGTAAGCATGTCAGACCTAGTTACTGTAGATAACACCATTTCAAAGTGTTGCTATTCAGTTCATTTGGGAAAGAATAAAGGCATGGAATTCGCATACAAAATGCAAACAAGTACATAGATCCCACCAATGAGGCAAGCCCAATCAACACAAAAGCTTGAAAATCTAGGTTTGACTTTTCCTTTTCAGGAAAGTATATTATTCCCAAAGACTAGCCAAAAATCTTTATTATAGTATATATAAAAATGTTTGCGTCATGTTTAAATAGATATTCTTCATATTTATTAGTCCCTCTTCATTTAGATTCAAGCTGGGCACTTTATGTTTTATGCGACGGTCGTCAAACAAATCCAACTACTCTCCCTGTGAGTGCTAATTGATGCGACGCCATCTACTGGTAGTTGGTGGGAGTCTGAACCGATCGTCATTAACACTCTGACCGCCGGGGTTTGAAAATATAGTATCAGCCACCGTCAGACTTTAACACTTTTTCGAAGGTCGTTGAGAGTTGGAATGTAATTAAATTGACATTAAGTGAATATTACAAGAACTACAAACATTTTAGCTTTACAATGGTACCAAACACTTTATTCCCTAGGTAGGGGTCTGGGATTACGCTAGAGTGGCGTCAGATGGTGACCCCTTGAAGATTTCGCTTTTTTGTTGAGGCATTTTTATGTTTTATTTATTTTTTTTGTTTTGTTTTTTATGTGAAGCACACAGAAGATTTTGCATTACGCGCTATATAAATGTAACATTATTATTATTACTATTCTAATCACAATCTGTGACCCATAACAGTAAATGAAAATGACTCACTTTTGGAGATTTATACAATTTTGCACAACAAAGCTGAGATAACCGCAATTTCTTGAAAGTAAATCAATTCCGCTCAACGCTAATGTAAACAAATAGTGAAATAGTTACGGTCCAGACTGAATATAGTGTTCAAATTGTTAGTACATGTCGGAAATTACTCCATCTATCGGATTTCGTAAAAAAACCTGAAACACGGAGATCTCCGTGTTTGGTAATGCAACGTTTGACCGCCGTGTTTGGTGGGCAGAGTGTTAAAAACAGTCCGTTTATGTGCATTGTTGTATTGTGTTCTCTATAGAATTGCGTTTTTGGCAGACGACCATCAGGCACAGTGATTGCCCAACTTTACACAGTCAAATTCCATCAGATTCTATAGAGTAGAACAAGTTTTCCGTCTCAATGCTTTGTGTAAGTCTGTTTCTCTTTTCATAGGACTGCCACCCTGAGCACCTGTTAACAGAAAGTAAATTCCTGCGCATTGATTCACTGCAAGACTTACTCAAAGCTCTGATATTTGCATCACAAGGACCCCAAGCTGCCGAGAGTCTTGGAACCCCATTTGATGAGGAAGCTGCTGTATTCAACCTTGAGCTTTTGATTAGAGTTGTCTTTGAAAACAGGTGAGAAAGAAAATTAAATCATGTGCAATTTAAATTCATTTCAATAATTATACAAGAAAATCAACATTGAATTTTTGTAGGTGGCTTTTCTTTCCTTATGTGTGTACGTCACTTGATGCCTAGTGCATAGTTTGATTAAGTTTGGGTTTTGCTTGTCACTGGGACTTTTAGTGGAGTATTGCCACTACCCTAAAATGCATAGTTCCTTTGTTGATTTTGGCAGATAATAGGTTTGATAGCCAATTAAAATTTAATCTAGTTAATGGAATTTTGTATGCAGATACAATCGCAGTGCTGTATATTGAGTGTCAATATAACTTTTTCTCACAAAACAAAACAACTAATTCATGCAATTGAATTTTTTCGTTCATATCAGAGATCGTGTAAGCTCTTTGTGGCAGTCTGTAAGGGACCATCTGTACAGCCTGATAGTGAGTTCCTCAGAGCATGGTTTCCTTGTTGAGAGAGCGGTAGTAGGCCTGCTACGACTAGCAATACGTATGTTACGACGGGAAGAAATATCAGGACAGGTAAACAATTTTTGTTGTAAAATCTAATGGAACTTTGCATTTCATTTTATTAAGTAAATTTATTAAAGATTCAAGATTGTTTATTATCAACCAAACATGTGATAAATGAAATTCTTTTTGCTTGCTGCTTACAATGAAAGATATAGATATCAGTGCTATAATTAAAGTAGGATCAGTGGAATAATTAATCATTTTACAGGCACTTAATTGATTAAAGGCAACTGAAGGTTAGAGATTTTTTCATTAATGAAACCTTCCTAAGCAATATTATGAGCCTTTAATGCAATACCATTCTAATCTGTAATTATTTACTGGTGCATGTGAATGAAAATCAAATAAAAGTATACAGTACAAATATAAATTTTAGACTGAGTAAATTTACAGTTTGCAGAATATGATAATATGCCTTTTTGACTCATAGGTAATCGCATCATTACGGATGCTATTCATGATGCGTCCCAGCATCCTTCACAAACAGTGTCGTCAGATATCTCATGCACTGTATGAACTGTTACGTACTAATGCAGCCAATATCCACACACCAATGGATTGGTATACTCTATTCACGTTACTAGAATGTGTTGGTGCTGGGTCAGTACCGCCCCCTATGAAACAAGTGTCTATTGGGACTGAGTCGGATGACTGCACGAGTCTATGTGGGGATGCAGGTAAGATTACCCTATATGTATGCTTGTGTATTGACGTTGAAACAATGCAAATCACAAGACAATTAGGATTATTATCAATATGATACGTTTTTTGTCAGCCCTAACCTTCTGTGAGGGGAACATGATCACTTTTAGTTGCCAATGTTCTCTAAATCAGAAAAAAATGATAGGGCAGTCCCTCGGTTGTGCCTATTACAGCTCTTTATGATTGGCTATACATTTTCACTCTTTCGACCTTGTTTTGTATCTCCTTAATTCCTTTTATTTAAACAGCATCAATAGGAATAAGCTGTTTTATACTTTTCTTAATTTATCCTCTTACTTATCAATATTTTTGTGTTGTATGAGTTATTATATTCATCTTAATAATGTCAAATCAAATCTAATGTGCATGATGTCTAGGGAATGGGTTTGCCACTTAGAAAAGTGATTAAGTTTGCTATTTGGCATATCCTTGGCCTTGTGCCTATGAAATAAAATAAAATGAATTAAATAATCAGATCAGGTTTTCATCATTTTTCAGATGCTCAATCGGACAGTGAGCTGTCGGTCAGTAGTCAAGTGACCACAGTGTCTGATCATGGCTACACGTCTGACACCGAACTCTACAACACACAAAAACCGAAGCGTAGCAGCAGTGAAGGAGATGTACGCGATATTGGACGAGGCGGGTGGCTAGTGGTAAGTTCCTGTTCTGCATGTATCACTTCCTTTCCCCCTTCCCCCTCAGGATTAATTTTAGAGCCCACTGTAAGTAACAACCCAAACTTTCATCATGAAATCTCTTCTGGCTGCCAAGATGATGACTCCTGACAAACAAGTACATTGGCAATATTGGGGCTGACGTCAGTGTGTACACTCAAGACAGCAGTGTGAAACCAGCTATGTGAAATAGGCCTTGGATAACAGTGTTATATTATACCAATATAATTTTTATGTATACAAATATAATATGGGACTTGCCATCTCAATCCCAGCACACTGTCGCTAATGTGAAACTGAGTAATTAACATAAGAATATGGCAGTATTGTATACTTTAGTACAGAGAAGCTGTAATTCTTGTACTCATAACCTTGGCAATGTCAACTCCATTAATTGACATATCATTTTAAAGCTTATAATGTGAAGAATATGAATATATAAAGGAGTCATTTTTTTTTTTTTGGTTATGCTTACTGATGCTGGTTTATGAACTTTTGTCAGGTGAAGAAAGACACAGATGAAAAGAAACAGCCTCACAATCAATATGAAATATCCTTGAATGTTGAACTCCGTCACCACGACACCAGGTCGCTTTTAAAATGCTGCGAGATTCTAGCATTTCTTGTACGTGACGCTGCTCACGTCACACCAGATAATTTTGAATCGTGTGTGCACTGCATCAGGACTTTTGTAGAAGCAACCGTTAATGGAGGTGAGACCAATCATGCTTTAAGGCTCTTCTTACAAGTTCATTGAATTGAGAAATTCTCTACTATTAGTCATTCAGATGTCAATCATTCAAATAATATTTGAATGAAAAATAATGTGTTGTTCCTATTATGATTCAAACCCAGAATCTCAGACTGAAATTCAAATTCAAATTAAACCTCATTGCAATCGAAAAAATGGATTGGATAAGACAATTTACATTACACGAATAGATAAAAGCATAAAAAAAAAACAGGATAAGCACCAATATTAAGGGGGTAAAACGTCAAAAATTTACCTTAAGAAACCTCTTTAACTAATGACTTAAATAGGGAAAAAATAGGTAAATATTCAACATAAAAAAATATGTAATATAAATTGCACTTCAGAAATCACTAATTTTAATAGGGACAAAAAAAGCAATAAGGGGTCAAAAAGAGAACATCAAAAAGGTACATCAAGAGAAAACAAAAATAAAAGAACCACCAAGATTATTGCAAATGCCCATTAAAAAAATTACATTCAAACTTGTTATTTAAAAGTTTTAGTTACAAAAAAGTATCAAATAAAGATAAAGATAAAAATCATCATCATAATTAACCATTAAGATCAGAATTCATATTGCAATTAAAAAATCATTTAAAAAATAAAAACAATTATTGACTACATGTCGGTAACTCTACCAGCTAAATAATTTGACTTTCTTTGTGGTTTTTATTGATACATTAATTTTTGTTATTTTCAGCTTTTGGACTTAATGCATACATTGCATACCAAAGCAGCTACCATCTTCAACTCATGGGCAGAGGAACAGCACAAGTCAGGGGAGCTTCATACTGTTGATGCTGGTGCTAGTGCATTGTGGGTAAAATGCTGGTGTCCTTTGTTGCAAGGTAAATAAATATATGCTGAAAATTCACATTCACTTTGAGAGTTATGAAAAAAAAAATCGTATTTATGCAGAGGAACCTATTCAGTAATCCCACATAGACTACACCTATATTAGGAGGATTATAGAGTGTTAGAAATAGAGAAAATAAATTTTTAAAAATGAAAATTTTTTTTCGAGATTTGAACACAGAACCCAGGATTGGAAGGCAAGCATGTTAATCATCAAACTACCAGTGGTGACTCCAGAAATTTGCAAACAGGGGTCCGACATATCCGACAGTGGGGGTGGAACTGTGTTTACAGCAAAGAAAGTTTATAACAAGTGTTTTGTTTTTTCTTGCTTATATACAGGTATAGCTCGCTTGTGCTGTGATACTAGGCGTCAGGTGAGAATGCAAGCCTTCTCTTACTTGCAAAGAGCTTTGTTGGTTCATGATCTGCAGACGCTCTCTGCTACAGAATGGGAATCAAGTTTCAACATCGTCCTTTTCCCACTCCTTGCAAAACTTCTCACCAACATCAACAGTCAGGACCCAGTAGGTGTGGAGGAAACTAGAATGAGGGCAGCTACTCTTCTCTGTAAAGTATTCCTTCAGCATTTATCGCCGCTCCTGTCACTGTCCACTTTTACTGCCCTCTGGCTGACTATCTTGGACTTCATGGACAAATATATGCATGCTGACAAAAGTGATTTGCTGGTATGTATTGAGGATAACCACCACACATCGTTATACCCTTTGTACCTAAAAAAGAATTTTTTCCATGTGTATCACCATCACTGATACTTTGAAGAACATTTTGCTTTTGATGTATTTTCATACAAATGCAAATTTCTACTTTTTCAAACAGTTTGAGGCCATCCCTGAGTCATTAAAAAACATGTTGCTAGTGATGCATACTGCAGGGATTCTTAGCAACGATGGTCATGATCAGGGCGAGGAATCGCAGCTGTGGCTCATCACGTGGGAAAGGATAGATTGCTTCTTGCCACAACTGAAAAATGAACTGTTTAGGCCAAGGGAAATACGTAAGTACACAAACACACTGACTCCAATCACTCACTCTTATTGCAAATATCAAAGAAATACTATTGAACTGTAGTCAATGGCAGCGGAAGTGGGAGGGGGGTTATTGGCCACTCAACATCATCATCATCATTGTCGTCATTGTTATTGTTTGGTGCTTAGGGACCTTATTTATTTAAAAAAAATAAATTGACGACTTATTATATATTATAGATTTTTTTAAAAATTTTTTAACAAAAATTAAAAGTTTTTAAGTAAATGTTGATTGACATCTGTATAACGCGTGTCTGTAATGTTTACTTGAAACCCTCCCTCGAGCATTTATAAAAGTATTTTTTAACACTCCATAATTTTTGTAATAAGCCATTAGTAAAGTATGTGAATATAAATATGAAAAAATAAAAACATTTAATCAGTTTAATGAAATTATAATAATAATAATGATATTTATCGATGATTTATTCAGCAAAGCCAAAGGTAGAAGCTGTGAACACTGCAGATGCTCCAAAACAGGATAGCAGCATACCTCGTGATGGCGCTCCACCTGTAAAAGATCCAGAACAACAGAAAACAAATGGTGGTAAGTTGAGCACGTATCTGGGTTTGGAGGGCACTCATCTTAACCACCAATCTTCCAGCTCCAACAAACTGCTCCAATAAAGCTAGATTCTATAATATCGCTACATGTCATGTAGCGTCAAATTTTAGCATCAATTTCTGATTACATTGGGGACAGCTACGCATTTTAACAATAGCAGTGAAACGTTTTTTTGGAAACCACATAGTCACTTGGAAAGTTTTACAATTAAATTATGTAATCATATTTGGCAGTCCTTGTTATTCACTGTTCATTTTCTATTGCATATGTAGCTGTTGAGAGTCCAGGAGTTCGATCTGCAAGTCCAGCCCAGACCAACATCATCCTTCAGCCGCCGTTACCATCAGCCGTTCCAGTTGGACACAGTAAGCATGGTGCTTCGGTACCCATACTGCTAAACCCGCATATACTACAAGCTGAAGGCATTCAAGGCCTACCTATACTGAGCGTGTCTGTGGGGGAGACTGCCACCACCAACAGCTCATGAGGCTAAATGATGGCTTGTCTTTAGCTGTTATACAAGGCCAGTTCCACAGTGTTGCCTTATGTCGAATCGGTGTTGAGAGTGATATAGTAAATGTCATGGCTATTAATGTTTGGAAGGCTGTACACAGAATTGATTGTATTACATTGTTATCAGCACATCTGTAGGATGGCTGAATGTGGCATTGACGAGGCTATTTTTGCGCATGTGTGATTGGGGTGTGATTGTATTTATGTGAACATCAGAGATATATTCATCTATTAGATAAGAATTTATTTTAATTCTAAAATATTTGTCTTAAAGAGAGATATTGATTAATTTAATGTAATTGGTTTGGATGGTGTCCTGAGGTATCTCTAGCCACCCGTAGTGAAGTGATAATATAAATAAATGTAGTACCTCTTCTACTTCAACTCTATTTGTGAAACATATTTGTGATATACTGTATGTGCAATTAAATGTAGTATCATTTCACAGGAACAAAAAGAGTTTGTATCTTGTATGTGTTCCTTATTGATTGGTGTTCATGACTACCCTATCATTATACAATAGATGATGTAACTGATGCATTGCACAAAATGGCTGATAAAGTGAAGGTCTGTGTCCATTGGCTTATCTAATGAGGTGTAGAAGAGAGGGTTTGGGGTGTGGCAAACTTACCAAATTCTTGCTGAGTAAAGGTATTACTGTTAACACATATCACCTCATTTTCAAAGCATCTATAACATACATAACCCCCAAATCATCTTCCCTGTGGTTTTTCTTTTAGATATGCTACCATGTGTCTCTGAAAGGTGTAATGTCTGTGTTAATGTATATTTGGAATAGATTGCTTTTTATATTTAAGTTAGAAAATATAAACTTAGAACAAAATTTTCTTTGCTAATTAATTATTCCTATAATCTTTGCATTGATCCTTAAGAAGGCTTTGCACTTAGGAAACTAAATTATTTTATCCTTTAATGTAATTGCTGAAAGATAGAGTGTGATTTCAGATTCTATGACACCATCCATGTGACAGGCATTTGTCTGCTGTAATAACAAGTCTCATGTTAGCGACTTCCCATCTAGCTAAATGGAATGCCTGTGTGAGTGTCAATGTATAAACTTATGTTGAATACTTGGAGTAAAGGTAAATGCAAAGTTGTAGTACAAATTTGTTGAACTGAAATGAATATATACATTCAATATGATTATGTAT